TTCCTTCTCTTCTGCTACTTCCTCCATTATTTTTCTCCTTCTTTTTCTTTCCCGTTTTTCTTCAACTTATTCCGTATTTCTTTTTTCATCGTCTTTTTCGTTATTCCTGTTGTTTTACTTTCACTATTCTCTTTTTCTTTTCTCCTTCCTGTCGCCATTTTTCTTTCTGCTCGTCGTAATTATGGTTTCTCTCTCCGTGTCTATCTGTTCGTTGTGTCCGCTTCACTTCTTTCCTGTATTCCTTGTTTATCTATTACTCACTTTTCCAACCATTCCTCAATATTGCACCAGTTATCAGGCGTACATTTAACACTTTTTGTCATTCAATTGTACTTTCCATTTAACTATTTATGCTAGAACTTTTACTTTCACTTTCACTTTCTACTTTCAATTTTCTTTCATTAATCTTTTGTCTAGAAACAATTTTAGTATTTGTTGATCGCCTTTTCTTTAATTTTCTTCCATTACCTTTTAACACATCTTTTTATAGAAAGCCCAAACCTCTTTTATACGATAGTTTTATTTGGCTCGTGGTTTCTTTAAAACTGCATCGTGTTTGGCTTTTTGTTTTACATTTAATTCATCAACAGATGAAGTTTTCGTTTATTTATTTGTTATTTCTCTTTTTTCTTTTTTTTTTTTTTTTTTTGCTTGTTCATTTTCTTTTTTCACTTTTGTGTTCATTATATGTAAAGAAAGCATTTACTGAAATCCAGGGCCAAGCTTCCAAAATCTAAGTTTCGATTTGTTTCAACGTGAAGAGTTCTTAATACTTTTAGCTTGTAAATATTTTTTCCAGCGCAATTTTTTTTTTGTTACGTGTCTACTTTCACTTTCACTTTTAATTTTAGTTAATGTTTTCCCGTTTTAATAATTTCTTCATTTCTTTCTTTTCTCTTATTTGATTTTTACATTTTTACAAGCATGTGTGTAAGTTTTGTTGATTTTTTTCAATGATTTCAGTTTTTTGATTATTTACTTATTCGAGTGCTTCTACGTCGCCATCCTGTGGCAATGGTAATACCCCACAAAGAATATGATACGAAAGGGCGTGTAACGGGCTTTAACTGCGTACACAGCCTCACCGGAAGCTTAAGCAATTATTCTTAATCTTAGTAGCAGGTTCGCAACGATACGTGAACTCAGCAAACGAATAAGCGAGTTGCTTGGATTAAAGAAACTGATATGGGTCACTGTTAATCCCAGCAGGTATAATATAGTCGCATTTTATGCCGGCAAATAAAAACATATTTTCCGCTTAGGCCTGCCAGCCGATTAGCTGACAAAAAACAGCTTTATCTGATGGCGAAAGAAAGGACTAAGTATCAACTGTAAGAAGACAGAATATACGATTGTCAATGTATTGAACAGCATAACATGCGAATTACAAATTGGAGATACCAAAATGAAACAAGTGCGAAAATGTAAATATCTGGGAAGTGTTTTAAAAAAAAGGATAGAAAATGAGATACTGAAATCCGAAGGCGCATTGGGGTAGCGAAAGATGCCTTCCAAAAGCTAAGCAAAGTATTAAGAAACAGGTAAATCTCGGAAAATCCTGGGAAATATGTTAACAGAGGATGGAAAATACGACACCGAAATTCGAAGGCGCATTGGGACAGAGAAAGATGCCTTCCAAAAGCTAAGTATTAAGAAACAGGAAATTTTCATTACAAAAAAAAAGACTACTGAATTGTTATGGGATATCGGTCCTCCTACACGGCAGTGAATGCCGGATCATGCCATCACAGATGGAGAAGAGACTTGAGGTAACAGAAATATGGTTCTACAGAAGGATGCTGAGAATCCCATGAACTAAATACGTGAGCAAAGAAATGGAAACAAAACGTGTTGTATCTTTAAAGAGGTTACAAACAGACAAAGGTGGTAGTCGAATGAAGGAACAGCAACACGCGAGTAGATGAAAGAAAGAGAAGTTTATTATAAAACATAATACGCTACTGAAGACAGGGAATCAGGTGGCAGGCTAGTAATTCCCGAAGCAAGGTTATTTACCTTACCTCCCCGCGAGGCAGGATGTGACACAAGGCAGTTTTTTAATGTAAGTAAACATTCCCCGTAGCTATTGATATAGTCAGTCCACATAAGCGATAGGTAGTGTGGGACGTTCCATTACAACAAAAAATGACATATTTATGGTCAGAAAGAGATAGTTGAAATATCAAGGGCAAGAAGAAAAGAAGGCTTCGAAAATTTGATACTCACAGAGCAGATTCAATGTGAGGGGGTCAGAGGAAAGCTGGGTATAATCTTCCAAACAAGCTTGTGTAAATAGATGGTAAAACAGGGAAAAAAGACAAACTTTACTAAGGTCTACAAAGGACAGAGACTTTTGGATAGCTATCATCGCCCATCTCCTGAATGGACACGACACAGCGAAGAAGAGAAGAAACTTTCCAAACTAACATAAGTTAAAGGTAAAAGTTAATAAAAAAAATCCTTCTTAACCAATCAAAATGCGCATTAATATCTTGCTTTAATATTTTTCATCCAATCAGAGTTCTCATTAGTAAATTATACGGAGTAAAGTTTAGCCAATCACCACATTTTTAAACATAGCCTTAATTAATTATAATAAATCAGTCAGGGCTTGCCTTTCTGGCTGTTTGGTGAGGGGGTGTTTTTGTTTTATTTTTTTGCCTTTGTTTTTGTTTCTGAAATCAAAGAGTAGTCAATTCTAAGCTTCGATTTGCTCAAATTCTCTCATGATCAGGTTCACATTCCTCCCAAGTCTTTTAAACAGGATCAGAAGAATATACTTTGTTTCCTGTTTAGGACTTGGTTTACGGCTCGTTCTAAAGACATTTCCTTATGTAACCTTCTGGTCCGAGTGGCTCTTGGGCCTTGTACGGGGTGAATATTATTATAAAAGCAACTTTCGGCTTCACTCGCAAGCAATCACTTTCTACGGACCGGCTGCTGAATGGTAGTCTTTGACAAATCCATCGAAACGTGTTATACTTCTGCTACTATCTTCATTTCCCGGTATGTGGGCGATAATGGATCTATCTATCTATCTATCTATCTATCTATCTATCTATCTATCTATCTATCTGTTGTGTACGATACACCTAATTTACATAAGTGGAGTACCGACCATATAAATATGGGTTGGTACCGGAAGACGGGGGAAAGTAAGAGATCCAATCCAGAGACTCTGCCCGACTGCGATTTAGTCAACCCATTATGCAGGAACAGTCTTCCCAAGAATATACCAAAACTAACAGTAAATATTGTGTACCCTTTCCTTGTTTCAATACATTTTGTTAACGTACATTTTGTGTTGTATTATTATTATTCCATGCTTATCCAAGTTTCAACACTATCTCACTCTGTTCATACGTGTATATCTCTTTATCTAAATTGATTCGTATCTATCTATCTATCTATCTATCTATCTATCTATCTATCTGTCTGTCTGTCTTTTCATATTTATCTATCTCCGTCTGTACATATCTATCTATATCAGGCTAGTCTGTTCCTATCTTTCTCTGTTTATATCTCTCTGTATATATATATATATATATATATATATATATATATATATATATATATATATATATATATATGCCTATATGCGTGTCAGTCTGCTCACACCGATTTGTCTATTCGCCTATCTCTGTTTCATTATCTATCACAGTCTATTCCTATCTCTCTCTCTCTCTCTCTGCCTCTCTCTCTCTCTCTCTCTGTCTCTGTCTCTCTCTCTCTGTCTCTCTTTCTCTCTCTGCATATACATATATATATATATATATATATATATATATATATATATATATATTACAGGTAATCGATTCGTTGGTATACAATCCGGGTGGATCCTAGTAATAATAATTATTAAAACTGATGCACAGAAGAGAGCTCGATGTTTTTATTTTAACAGAACATATATATATATATATATATATATATATATATCAAAAACAAATAATACGCATGTGCCAAATTAAAAATATAAAATGATATTAGATATAAATTCACATAATGATATATAAAATGATTATAGGGAAACGGTTGATATCACCATTAACATTAATATTATCATTACCATTCCTTCTTCCTGCTGATAACATTTCAGCATTTTTTTATGTATAAATAAACTTCTATGATTGGAGACAGCTAAAAAGCTTTCGACATCTCTCTTCTCCACCAAATTATGATGTTTTGATTAATTTGGAATAAATGGTTAGGAAGGAAACCCCTGTCAATACTGGAAAGAGTGATAACAGCTACTGGACTTGAGAACTGTTTTCCTGAAACGTGTTTTAAGAGAAAGATTTTATAAATTTCAACGGAAAACAGTACCGGCTGCTCGGTCAGTGAATGCCAAATCAAGGGTGCGATGGATAAATTGTCGTCTAAATGACGCAATGATAATAACAGACCTCATTTTAACAGATATATAAGGTGCGATGGATAAATTGTCGTCTAAATGACGCAATGATAATAACAGACTTCATTTTAACAGATATATAAGGTGCGATGGATAAATTGTCGTCTAAATGACGCAAGAATGAAAGTAACAGACCTCATTTTAATATACAGGGTGCGATGGATAAATTGTCGTCTAGATGACGCAAGAATGAGAATAACACTGACATCTCATTTTAACAGATATATTTACCAAAATTACACAAAAATATCTTGGAATACTAAAGAGTAAATTTATTCAATAAAATCGCCATTGCCTTTAATCACAACCATCAGATGAGTTCATAATCTCCTCCAACTCTTCTGGATGGTCTCTTTGTTTAAGTTGGTCTGCACTGTCCCCAGTTTGATTCCAAAACACGCTGAACGCTTCGTATTGCAAATGCCAAGCAGTTAAGCATGCCGTTTCCAAATTTACTGGGTAATAAATTGCGTAATGGTACTCTTTTTCTCACGGACGGTACCCAGCTGATCCTACTATACTGTTCAGTCAAAAACAAATAATACGCATGCGCGAAATTAAAAATATAAAATGACGATAATTTATCCATCGCAAACTGTATTTCCTTATAGGGAAACGGTTAATATCACCATTAACATTAATATTAAATTACCATTGCTTCGTCCTGCTGATAACAGTTCAGTATTTTTTATGTATAAATAAAATTCTATGATTGGAGACAGCTAAAAAGCTTTCGACATTTCTCTTCTCCACCAAATTATGATGTTTTGATTATCTTTTGGGAAGTAGGTCAACCCTCAACATTTTCAGCACCTCCCAGTGCATTGAATATAAGTGTGTGGAAACTTCGATACAAATTTCAGTGCTGGAGCATTTCTATTATTTTTTTTTAATGGCGGTCAATAAGATTTTTGGGATGACGGCAACCTTTTGGAGAAAATATTACAAAATCGGAAATGGTAAGGAAAGATCGACTGTGTATCATTATATTCTTCCTCCGTCCAAGTTAGGATGTCAACAAATCCCGGATTAAAATACATACGTTAAAAAGACGCCCAGGAAATAAGTTTGAATGGCGATTCGGCCGTCTTCCTGCCTGGCCAATTATACTGGTTATTTTCGCAATCCTGTACGCCATATTAGACCGTCAATATAATTTCCTGTATCTCTTCTTCCGCCTCTTCGAATCCAACCTTCTGCCCTCTCTTCGACGTCCTCTTCCTCAGCAACCTCCCCCCTCCATCCCACGCCGACTTCTTCAGCTCTATAAGATTATTATACTCGTCTTCTTTGGTTCTCAACTGGTTAATATTTCTCATACTCGATTTTGTTCTCCATTTTTTTCGCTATATTTTTTTTCGTTTTTTCATTTTATTTTTATTTTATTTCATTTTATTTTATTCTGTTATCTTTCACTATTCTTTTCCTTATAGTGATAGACTAATTTATTTTCTACTGTAACTTTCTTTTGCTCGGTTTTCTATCTTTATTATTGATTCCTTACTTTTACTTTCGTTTTCCCTTACAGTCATACTTTTAAACTCAGTTTCTACTTTCACTTTCGATTTCAATTTAGCTCTTTCTTTCGTTTATTTTTCGATTCCTTTTTCTCGTTTATTTTATGATACCCTTCAAACGATCTGTTGATGTTATCTTTACTTTTATGTCATTTTTATATTCATATATTGAATTTCACATCGTCTCCTTTCTATTTTGCTCAGTCGTAAATCCATTTCTCCTTCCACTTATTTATAATTTCGTAAGCATTTTTTGCCTTCTTATATGGAGATACGTCAATACGCCCGCTGCCTGTTGATGAATAAAAAACATTTATTTTATGTAACAAATATTTACTTTTCAAAATGAGCTCCTTTTTGCCAATGCACTTAATTCCATGCATCGAACATTATACACTGAAATTTTTCTAATCTAATATCAACCTTATATATATATATATATATATATATATATATATATGAGTGCACAGTGAGTGATGGTAGTAATAAAACAGTGCTCGTTATAAAAGAACACAGCTAAAATTATATTAATATTAAATATATATTTTGTTCCTAACCATTTGTAAGAACTCTGAGATTCATGCACGTGGCAAGTATATATATATATATATATATATATATATATATATATATATATATATATATATATACAAGTATAGGATTAGTGTATACGGAATAAATTCTAATAACCAACAAATACTATTCTTAAAAGTGTGCTCAGTACAGAGTAGAGTAAATATAATTTATTCGAAAATTATAACATAAATATGTTGTAAAATCACTACAAAAATAGCAATTTTGTTTCAACACTTTTGGTGTCTTATCAAGTGATGATGTTGAATATAGAATAAAAACGTGATAACGAACATTGGTTATAATAATTAATGCTTTAATGTTAGGCATCGGCTAAAACAGAAATCATTCTAATTAATATTAAAGTTTTTTGAATTGACATATGTTTGTATTTTGATTGGTCATTGCAGCTTATGTAACACCATTTCCCCAAGTGAGGGGTGTTTGATTGATTTGAACCTTTTAAGACCCTTTATTCTACATTCAACACCATCACTTGATAAGACATCAAAAGTGTTGCAACAAAATGGTTATTTTTGTAGTGATTTTTCACGGAACTGACAAACACCTTAGTCGCATTATTAAAGGTAAAATGGACGTTACTATATTGATGCATATTCATTTATTATGGTTACTTTCGACATTAACACAATGTCATCTTCAGGGTTTTGCTTTATCGAGAAGAAATTTGTGTTTATTTGAAAATTATTTCTTTTATTCGTGCAGTACATAAGTTTAACGTTTTACACTTCACAAATAAAAAAAATAATTTTCAGATTTATGTTTGATAATTTAATCAGATTTCGCGCAGTGGATAGGCTCGAGAATATTTTCAGCACCCCATCATATCTAAATGTGTAAATAATTCTGTAATCTTACATATTTATTAGCTGAGGCTTAGTCGAAATATTTCACTGTATAATGTTCAAATTATATTAATGAAAGATTATTGGGTTAACTACATAAAAAAGAATTAACGTTATTCTTGAAATATAAACATTTATGGCATTTTTATTATTATTATTTCTTGTTCCTCTTTTTTGCCTTTTCGTTTCTCATCTTTTTCTCTTTTCCTTCTTTCATCTTTTTATTTTTCCTTCTCTCATCTTTTACTCTTTTCCTTCTTTCATCTTTGTATTTTTTCCTTCTCTCATCTATTGCTTTTTTTTTCTTTCTTTTTAATTTTTCCTTCTTTCATCTTTTTGTCTTTTCTTCTTTCATCTTTTTGTCTTTTCTTCTTTCATCTTTTTCTTCTTGTTCGTCTATTTCCTTTCTCATCTTTCTGTTTCGTTTTTTCTGTTTCGTTTTTCCCTTAACTTTTTTGCTCCTCTTTTTTGTCTTTCTTTTTTCTTCTTTTCTATGTTTACCTTATCCTTCTTTTTCGTTGTCCTTCCTTTTTTCCTTCTTTCATTTTGTTTTCTTTCTTCTTTTCTTTTTCATTTTTGCCTCTTCATTTCTGTTTCTTTTCTTTTTTTATTTTCTTTCTCGTCTCTCTCCCTTTTATCTTTTTCTTTTCCTTCGATTTCGTATTTCTTATTTCTTTCTTTTTTATATCATTCTTTTCCTTCATTTCAGTTTTCATTCCTCTTTCGTCCTTTCCTTTTCCTTCCTTTTCATCTTTCTTCTTTCTTTTTTAAATCAACCTTTTTCTTTTTTTTAATTTTCATTCCTCTTTTGTCTATTTCTTCTCCTTCCATTTCGTTTTTCTTTTTTATATTTTTTTTCAATCTTTTTAGTTTTTATTCCCTTTTCGACTTTATCTTTTCCTTCCATTTCGTCTTTCTTTATTTATTTATATTTTTCTTTTCATTCTTTTTAGTTTTCATTGCTCTTTCGTCTTTTTCTTTTCCTTCCATTTTATCTTTCTTCTTTCTTTCTTTTTCATATCTTACTTTTCATTCTTTCTAGTTTTCATTGCTTTTTCGTCTTTTTCTTTTCCTTCCATTTCGTCTTTCTTCTTTCTTTTTTAAATCAATCTTTTCCTCTTTTTAGTTTTCATTCCTCTTTTGTCTATTTCTTCTCCTTCCATTTCTTCTTTCTTTTTTATATCTTTCTTTTCAATCTTTTAATCTTCATTCCTCTTTCGCTTTTTTCTTTTCCTTCCCTTTCGTCCGTCTTCTTTTTTCTTTTTTAATCTTTTTTTCTTCTTTTTAGTTTTCATTCCCCTTTCGTCTTTTTTCTTTTCCTTCCATTTCGTCTTTCTTTTTTCTTTCGTTTTTTATATCTTTCTTTTCCTTCTTTTTAATTTTCATTCTTTTTTTTCTTTATCTATTTCCTTCTTTTTCTCTTCTTCTAAACTTTCTTTTTTATTCACATATTTACATTCGATTCTTTGCATATAACTAATTTCTCTTTCATTTTCGACTTCCGTACAATCATCATCATTCGATCATCTGTCATGGCTCCCGATCCGACAGTGGGTAGGCGTACGTGTTGAAACGAACTTAGTAACTTCTTTACTTGACCAGCTTCAGGCTGTTGTCCAAATGATGAAGCATAACTTCCTTGCCCCACACCCCGGAACCCGTTCCGTTCTGTCGATAACCACATCTGCCACTTACAACCCCCACCCCTAACACATCGAAGAGGAGATCGCAGAAACGCACTTGCGATGAGGATCGGCGCGGCGGAAGGACGAACATAGAACATGAAGAATTTGCGCCAAATGACTTCAGTCTGCAAATTAGGCAAAATAAAATACGCGTGCGCACTCAGAATAACACAGGGAGAGATACACACACAGAAACAACGATCGATCGATAGAAAAAAGATAGATAGATAGATAGATAGATAGATACTAAAATAGAAAGAAAGAAAGAAAGAAAGAATTGAAAGAAAGAAAGAAAAAGAGATAGATAGAAAGATAGATAGATATTAAGAGACTGAATAGATAGATAGATAGATAGATAGATAGATAGATAGATAAAAGAAATAGAAAAGAAACAAATAACAAAGAGATAGATAGATAGATAGATAGATAGATAGATAGATAGATATAAAGAGACTGAAATAGAAAGAAAAAAGAAAGAAAAGAATTGAAAGAAAAAAAAAGAGATAGAGAGAAAGAAGATAGATAGATGAATAGATAGATATAATAGATAGATAGATGAGATAGAAGATACTGAAATAGAAAGAAACAAAAAACAAAGAGAAATAGAAGATAGATAGATAGATAGATATAAAGAGACTGAAATAGAAAGAAAGAAAGAAAGAAAGAAAGAAGAGGAAGATAGATAGATAGATAGATATAAAGAGACTGAAATTGAAAGAAAGAAAGAAAGAGATAGATAGATAGATAGATAGATAGATAGATAGATAGATAGATAGATAGATACTGAAATAGAAAGAAAGAAAGAATTGAAAGAAAGAAAGAAAGAAAAAAAGAAAAAGAGATAGATAAAAAGATAGATAGATATTAAGAGACTGAATAGATAGATAGATAGATAGATAGATAGATAGATAGATATTAATTGAACGAGATGCCAGGTCAGGACCACTGATATTGCATATTCTTCTTTCAGTGTTATGAAGAATCTCTAAATATATAGCAGCTGTTCCAGCAATATTCCAAGCATGAACAAATGATAGACTTATAAATATGTAAGATTGATTCTAGAGAGCAAACAATTGTCTAGCACGACGCCGAGAACCAACTTTCCTAGCACTAGACCTTGCAGTTGATTCAACATAATCTTTACACCTCATCTCAGCCGAAAAGTTCGAGAAACTCCCACTTTTCATCTTGTCATGGTTATGCTGCATTTTGATAGTTTAAATTCTTCTTCGAATTTCTAATTTTTTTTTATGAAGCCATTTTGACATTTTTTTTCACATAGGCTAATCTAAAATGGCAAGCCCTATCGTACTAACTTTGAAGACTCAAACTGAGTAGGATTTTTTGAAATCCGTGGGCGTGTATCCCTGTCAGTGATGTGTTGTTGTTTAAGTTTCAGTATATACACCCCAAAAACGTGCCAAGGGACTGAATATGGTTGCAATAATGAATTCTCCAAAGAAAGATCTGCAATGTAATTGATCCTGATTTGGCATCTCGACTCCAGTCACTTTCTCACAGACGTGATGTGGCTACCCTCTGTCTTTTCTACAAATCTTTTCATGGCAAATGTTCTGCCGAGCTTTTTTCCCTGGTGTCCCGACGACATAAATTTAAGCTTGCTGCTAGACTGGCATCATATCCCGCCCTTTTATCGTTGAAATAGTTAAATGTAACTACCACTTCTACTCCTTCAGCTTCTTTTCTCGCACTTCGCGCCTGTAGAACTACCTTCCGTTTACTCGCTTTCCTGATAACTAAAATCTCCAAAAATTTAAATGCAATATCAATCGCCATCTTCTGATATCTTCAACCCCGTTCATCTTTTACCATTTCCTCATTACCCCTATACCTAGTTTTTTTCTCACTTTCACTTTATGTAACCCGACGCGAACCAATGGCTCTCGTGCCTTTCTTGGAGTGAAATGCTTAAAAAAAAAGATTCTTTTGTGAGACATGGCACGTCACTATCTCTCTCTCTCTCTCTCTCTCTCTCTCTCTCTCTCTCTCTCTCTCTAGCTCTTGATGCTACTACTACACGCTGAAATAAATCGAGGAAAAGGAACCTGAGAAAACTGTACCTTTTCCTAAACCTTGTTGTGCAGCGTTGGGCTTGAAGAATTGCAAATCACCAGAAACCAGAAACAAAAATGCAACATTTTGAAACGCTTATCCATTCTATCAGCTGAACCATAGTTACGGGTATTCAACACAATCTCGAAACTCCCACCTGTGAATTTAATAACAGGTTTGGTTCAAAATTTTAACAAGGTTTTAAGTAAACGGTGTTTCATTAAGACGGATTATAGATAAGGGTGTTTCATTAAGACGGATCAAAGTCAGTAGTAAATAAATCAGTGTTATTAGTGAAAATTTATTGATTTCTCTATTGGATCATGTTATTTAAGTCATGAAAATTATGTGTGAAAAATAATATCGCCCAAATGTCCGCCAAATCTGAAAGAATAGAAAAAATCATTAGATGCTTAAACTTAATTCACATTAAAATCGTCCGAGTTATAATGATATATACCTGAAGAAGACCACAATAACAGAAACGTTGTCAGTATAACAACCAAAATAGGTTTCCAAGACGGATGTAAACGCTTACATCATATGATTTAATATCGAACTCAGAAACTCTGAAACATATTAATTGATTCTTTTTTGACGGTTTATCAACACATTGCAGGTTATTTAAAACTAGAAAATATTTTTAGATTGTAAGATTTTGCTATTTGCTTATTTGCACGTAAGTGAATATAACGAACCCAACTGGAATTGGAACTCGGCTTTCTGGTTTTCATTGTCGAGCCATTATCCATTACACCGCCCGCATATCCAAGCTCCCAAGCGGTCACCCATCTACGTAGTGACCATGCTAGACATTGCTTAACTTTGGTGACCGAGAACCGATGTTTGAACGTGATGTGAGTAACAATTCTTTCCACTTTTTTTTGTTGTGATCACAACCCAAACTTATAATACTGTTATTCATGTTTTATTAACCCGGAAGTACTTAACTGTCGACAAAGTGATATGACTAATTTTTGTAGATATTAATTTTCTTTAAAAAAAAAAAAAAGAAATAAAATAAAAAAATAAATAAATAAATAAATAAATAAAATGTATTTTATGAATGCTAAGAAAAAAAACAAAAAAAAATAAACAAAAAAAATTTGGAATACTAAAATATTTGTTACATATTAATATTAACTTTACTAATATTTTGAAGGAAGATTCCATAACATACCCAAAATAAGGGGGGGTTACAGTTTTTGTGTATATGTTATAACTAGTGAGCCAGTCAAAATGACTTAACTCCCTTTATAGTCCACCAATAGAAGGTTAACCAATCAGAAGCCGCAGAAAATTGTATCCGTCGTGTATAAAGGCGGCCATTTTTGTTTACCTAACCGAATGACCAGTGCCAACTTGTCAGGCGAAGATGACAGAAGGACGAACTACGCTCTGCTACTTTTACCAAAATATCCACTGCTAACCTGAACTACGCTTTCCTACTGTCTCCGAAATATTCACTGCTAACCTCTGGATTCTATACTCGATACGACCGTCATAAAATGTCTAACAATGTGTTCGTTATTTTTCATATGTATATATATATATATATATATATATATATATATATATATATATATATATGTGTGTGTGTGTGTGTGTGTGTGTTTCTGTGTGTGTGTCTTATAATGTTGAAATATATGTTAATCTTCAATAATTTAAATGCGATGTCAATCGTTATCGACGGTATCTGTCTATATTTCTGAGATGAGGTATTGTAATTATTTACATTATTCGGACTGTTGCTCTCAGCTTTATTGCCAGATTTACGACGTTTCGTAAAATGACTAATAATTGGAATATATTTATCCCAGTCAGAAAGGAATTAGTGTAATTATGTATTTATTCAAATGCAATGTCTATCGATATCTCCAGATGCCTTGATCTATTCCGTATCCTTCTCTTCATCCTTTCCTCTATCACGTCTCTTTACTCTTGCACCCACTCTCTGTAAACCCTTTCGTGCTAGTGGCACTCCCGCCTTGCTTGGGGTGAAATGCTTAAAAAATCATCAGGAATTTTGCTTTCTAAACGAAGATTTGTGTTTACCCTCTTGATATTCGAACTGTTGTCCTCATCTTTGTTGTTGTTATCGCAACGTTTTGGCCGTTGTGCTCTCCGGCCTTCCTCACAACAGTCTGAATACAAATAATATAGATAATGCCAACTCCTCAACCTAGAAATTCAGACTGAAAAGAAAATTCAGCTCGTCTAAATAACAGCATTGCCATTAAGTAATACTGAGGAAGCTCCTGGAAGAGCGGAGAAATTTGCTGTCGATTTGGTTCCCCCAGATGAGATCGGTTTAAAATATATTTTATAACAAATATTCTTTGTTCGGTGTCTATCATAAAAAAAGCATAAAAAAAAGCATTAAGCTGCGAAAAGAGACGTGCGAAAAGAAAAAAACACACGTGACTCTCAGTAAGAAAAGAGGCACTGTTTAATTCAAGAAACAAAGAAAAACGTTGATGAGAATTTAACAGCAAACAGAACTTTGTCGCACGTCGTAAATTAAACACATATTTTTCCGCGACATTTTATACACACACACAAACACACACGCACACACACAGATATATATATATATATATATATATATATATATAGAGAGAGAGAGAGAGAGAGAGGAGCGTATATATGTAGAAAGGTGTGTCGACAAACGCATATTTTAAAGTCGAAATTTATGTAAATTCGTACACACGCACACACACAAATATGTACATATTGTGTGTGATTATGTATAATTTTGTATGTGCCAATTTTTTACTACGTTATATGTGTGCGTGTGTGTGTGTATGTGTGTGTGTGTGTGTGTGTGTGTGTGTGTGTGTGTGTGTGTGTGTGTGTGTGATTATGTATAATTTTGTGCCAATTTTTACTGCGTTATATATGTGTGTGTGTGTGTGTGTGTGTGTATGTGATTATGTATAATTGTGTATGTGCAATTTTTCACTTATATGTGTGTTGTGTGTGTGTGTGTGTGTGTGTGTGTGTGTGTGTGTGTGTGTGTGTGTGTGATAAATTTTTCACAAGTAAAAATATACAAAAAGCAGACACATGGTTAGGGAAAAGATTGATAAACCTCATATATATATATATATATATATATATATATATATATATATATATATATATATAATGAATCATTCATAAAAAAGCATATTAGTAAAGTTAATGATATAAAATGCCGAAATCTCTTCGCAAACAAATTTGCATTAACCTACGAACTACTCGATGAATGTTATGATCCTTGTTTTTAAGAACTACAAGCTGTATAAGGTCTTTTTTTAATCTGCTAGTACTTTCAACTTTACATACAGTCATCCTCAGGCACGTTTGCGAAGAGATTTCATCATTTTATATCGTTAACTTTAGTAATCTACTTTTTATATGAATGACTCATTGTAATATAAACTGAACTGCACCACACAATTGATATATATATATATATATATATATATATATATATATATATAAAAAGATAACTTTATAAATTTTTCATATATATATATATATATATATATATATATGTATATATATATATGAAAAATTTATAAAGTTATCTCACGATTACGAAGCTGAATCAGGTATACATGGTGATTTTCTAGATGTGGCAAAAGGCCAAAATCTGGGAGCAGTCAGTTAGGATCGAATTCACTATCCGGTCGTAATTGCTCTAATGACACAAGCTTGATAACCATTACACCACGTCGATGTGCTCGAATACCTTACTAAGATGAGCTTACATGTAGCACAAGGCCTAAAGTATACGGCTCTCAGTGAGGATCGACCTCACCACTCAGTTAGAGTTGATCTTGCGAGACAAGCATGCTAACGATTACCCCAGGTCGAAGTGGCGC